TACAGTGATGGTGTTTACAGTGATGGTGTTTACAGTGATAGTGTTTACAGTGATGGTGTTTACAGTGATGGTGTTTACAGTAATAATGTTTACATTGATGGTGTTTACAATGATAGTGTTTACAGTGATAGTTTTTACAGTGATAGTGTTTACAGTGATGGTGTTTACAGTGATAGTGTTAACAGTGATGGTGTTTACAGTGATGGTGTTAACAGTGATGGTGTTTACAGTGATGGTGTTTACAGTGATGGTGTTTACAGTGATAGTGTTTACAGTGATGGTGTTTACAGTGATAGTGTTAACAGTGATGGTGTTTACAGTGATAGTGTTAACAGTGATGGTGTTTACAGTGATAGTGTTAACAGTGATGGTGTTTACAGTGATAGTGTTAACAGTGATGGTGTTTACAGTGATAGTGTTAACAGTGATGGTGTTTACAGTGATAGTGTTAACAGTGATGGTGTTTACAGTGATAGTGTTAACAGTGATGGTGTTTACAGTGATAGTGTTAACAGTGATGGTGTTTACAGTGATGGTGTTTACAGTGATGGTGTTTACAGTGATAGTGTTTACAGTGATAGTGTTTACAGTGATGGTGTTTACAGTGATAGTGTTAACAGTGATGGTGTTTACAGTGATGGTGTTTACAGTAATAATGTTAACAGTGATGGTGTTAACAGTGATGGTGTTTACAGTGATGGTGTTTACAGTGATAGTGTTTACAGTAATAATGTTTACAGTGATGGTTTTTACAGTAATAGTGTTTACAGTGATAGTGTTAACAGTGATGGGTGTTTACAGTGATGGTGTTTACAGTGATGGTGTTTACAGTGATGGTGTTTACAGTGATGGTGTTTACAGTGATGGTGTTTACAGTGATGGTGTTTACAGTGATGGTGTTTACAGTGATGGTGTTTACAGTGATGGTGTTTACAGTGATGGTGTTTACAGTGATGGTGTTTACAGTGATGGTGTTTACAGTGATGGTGTTTACAGTGATGGTGTTTACAGTGATAGTGTTTACAGTGATGGGTGTTTACAGTGATGGTGTTTACAGTGATGGTGTTTACAGTGATGGTGTTTACAGTGATGGTGTTTACAGTGATGGTGTTTACAGTGATGGTGTTTACAGTGATGGTGTTTACAGTGATGGTGTTTACAGTGATGGTGTTTACAGTGATGGTGTTTACAGTGATGGTGTTTACAGTGATGGTGTTTACAGTGATGGTGTTTACAGTGATGGTGTTTACAGTGATGGTGTTTACAGTGATGGTGTTTACAGTGATGGTGTTTACAGTGATGGTGTTTACAGTGATAGTGTTTACAGTAATGGTGTTTACAGTGATGGTGTTTACAGTGATGGTGTTTACAGTAATAATGTTTACAGTGATGGTGTTTACAGTGATAGTGTTAACAGTGATGGTGTTTACAGTGATGGTGTATACAGTGATGGTGTTTACAGTGATGGTGTTTACAGTGATGGGTGTTTACAGTGATGGTGTTTACAGTGATAGTGTTTACAGTGATAGTGTTTACAGTGATGGTGTTTACAGTGATAGTGTTTACAGTGATGGGTGTTTACAATGATAGTATTAACAGTGATGGTGTTTACAGTGATCTGATAGTGTTTACAGTAATAGTGTTTACAGTGATAGTGTTTACAGTAATAGTGTTTACAGTGATAGTGTTTACAGTAATAGTGTTTACAGTGATAGTGTTTACAGTGATGGGTGTTTACAGTGATAGTGTTAACAGTTATGGTGTTTAGAGTGATGGTGTTTACAGTGATAGTATTTACAGTAATAGTATTTACAGTTACAGTGATAGTATTTACAGTAATAGTATTTACAGTAATAGTGTTTACAGTGATAGTGTTTACAGTGATAGTGTTTACAGTGATGGGTGTTTACAGTGATAGTGTTTACAGTAATAATGTTTACAGTGATAGGTGTTTACAGTGATGTGTTAACAGTAATAGTGTTTACAGTGATAGTGTTTACAGTAATAGTGTTTACAGTGATAGGTTTTTACAGTAATAGTGTTTACAGTGATTGGTTTTTACAGTGATAGTGTTTACAGTAATAGTGTTTACAGTGATGGAGTTTATAGTGATATTGTTTACAGTGATGGGTGTTTACAGTGATGTGTTAACAGTAATAGTGTTTCCAGTGATTGGTTTTTACAGTGATAGTGTTAACAGTTATGGTGTTTAGAGTGATGGTGTTTACAGCGATGGTGTTTACAGTAATAATGATTACAGTGATGGTGTTTTCAGTGATAGTGTTTACAGTGAAAGTTTTTTACAGTGATAGTGTTAACAGTGATAGTGTTTACAGTAATAATTTTGTTTGTGTTAAACAGGGTTCCACTCCCCCACAACTTCCTGGCCTGTGGTGGGGACCCTCATGATCGAGCCAACAGAGTCGGAAGACAAGGAGGAGCTAGACAGATTCTGTGATGCTCTAATAGGTAAACCTTTTAGAAGGAGCTGGCTTTGGAAACTTTAACAAAATAAGAAAAAAAGAATGTGTTAATGTTTTATGAACAGATACATTGTACTGTTGGTTGTGAAATACAGATTTTTAACACATTTTTAATGTTTCTTTTACTGTATTTCAGCTATTAGAAAAGAAATCCAGATGATTGAGGAAGGAAAAATTGATTCTCGAAATAACCCTTTAAAGGTAACTAAATAATCCTATAAAGGTTACTAAATAAACCCGATGAAGGTAACTAAATAACCCTATAGAGGTAACTAAATAACCCGATAAAGGTTACTAAATAAACCCGATGAAGGTAACTAAATAACCCTATAAAGATAACTAAGTAACACTATGAAGGTAACTAAATAACCCTTTAAAGATCTCATTCATAGATTTCGTTCTTGGAGCAGACATTTCCTTTGAGATAAACAATAATTAGGGCCCCGTATTGGTCCGATACGGGTGCCCTATAGTAATCACTCTGTCTGTCTGTCTGTCTGTCTGTCTGTCTGTCTGTCTGTCTGTCTGTCTGTCTGTCTGTCTGTCCGTCCGTCCGTCCGTCCACAAATTTTGTTCCTGACTGATAACTTTGGTATTTATTGACCAATGTACATGAAACTTGGTCAAGATGTTCAGTTCACAAAAATACACTTTGTGGTAAAAAGTCACGGTCAAAGGTCAAGGTCATTATATTCAAAGGTCAAGGTCAAATTTTGCATCTTTTCACTGATGAACATTTTGTTATGACATGATGAAGCAAAGTTGATCACAATTAAACAAGGAGTCAACTGACCAAAGTTCAAGGTCATTGGGTCAAAGGTCAAGGTTAAATTTTGTATCTTTTCACTGGTGAACATTTCGCTATGACACTTTGAAGCAATGTAGCTCAGAATTAAACAAGGAGTCAATTGACTAAAGGTCAAGGTCACTGGGTCAAAGGTGAAGGTTACATTTTGTACCTTTTCCCTGATGAACATTTTGTTATGACATTATGAAGCAATGTTGTTCAGAACTTAACACAGAGTCAACTGACCTTAGGTCCAGGTTACGGGGTCCAAAGGGTCAAGGTCAAGTTTTGTATTTTTCACTGATGAACATTTTGTTATGATATTAAGAAGCAAAGTTGGTCGGAATTAAAGAATAAGTCAACTGACCAAAGATCAGGGTCACTGGGTTAATGGTCAAGGTCATTTGGGTCCAAAGGTCAAAGACAAAGTGGATCTCTGACTTTGACCCTGGCTCTTGATGGAGGAGGTATATAAGGTGAAATAAAACAAATCAAAGCTAACAAATGAGTATTGCACCGGTATTTACATTTCTGTTAGCCCAGCAAATATGGAGGTGGAAGGAAACAAGACTCACATCATAGTACATGTAAAATGTATATTTTGCTTCCTTGCGATTCTTTTTGAAGGCCACATATCAAACGTCAAGTTCAGCGATATGGGCAGATTGCTTCTTGATGATTATGGGGGATATATTGCCACAAGACGGGGCCCTGACTGACCTGTCAGTGTTCTAGTTCTAGACTTTTTTTTGCAATGATGATGTGATCTTATCTATTAAATATTTATGTAACTTGTTTGATGACTTTATGCAGAATGCACCACACAGTCAAGCAGTTGTCATGGCGACACAGTGGGATTTCCCCTATACCAGGGAGGTGGCTGCTTTCCCATTGGTAAGTCTGGATATTTCATTGTTAGATTTTCTCAGTGAGACAAAGTATGCACAGTATATAGTTATATGCCATACTGGTTGTTAGTCTATAAATTAAACACATGTATAAATAGAAGCAAATTTTGTATATTTGATCACTCATCACACCCACACACCTGACATTGCCATATCTTTATTATTTCTTATATAAGTCCCGCAAGTTATTGTTTTCTGTTTAGAAATGATCTATTAAAGCCATAGTCATGCTAGAAAAAAAAGTTTCCAATACTTAGTTACAGTTTCTGGCAGTGGGACGAGGATCCTTAATGTTTCATTACCAACAATAGAAGTGTAACATATTGTCTGTTTCTTTGCAGCCCTATGTCCGACCAGAATCAAAGTTCTGGCCAACTGTGAGCCGTATTGATGACATTTTCGGTGACCAGAACCTGGTTTGTACCTGCCCACCAATGTCCAGCTATGAATCGCCCTTTGTAGACGAACTGAAAATGGAGAAGGTTTCTCAATGAGGACGGAGTTCGGGGAAACAGAGCACTTTCAGTATACTAAAGATCCTTGAAAAAGACAAGTCATAATGAAAACAGTGAGATCTGGACTATTATTCTGAAAGAAAAAGGTCTGAGAAAACCATTTATTTCCACTAATTAAACAGATGTTATTGCTATAACATAGATCTAGACTATAGGCGTTCACAAATTTAGCTAGAATTTCACGGTATTCGTGTCTTTAGTGTATTAACAACGTTCTGCCGATTCAGCTTTTAAATACAGATTAATCGAACATTATTTTGTTTATTTGATTAATTTAAACAAGGTTTGGCTGTTCAGAATATAAATCTTTGAAAATTAAGTTAAAGTCAGAAGTAGGTTGTATATAATACCTGTTTGACTGGCATGGATACAGTCAGACTTGTGTGTGTATGAGGGCGTGGATATCCACCTGTTTGAGGTGTGGGTACTCTGCCAGCTTGAGTAAGAGGGTGTGTGGAAACTCCGTCTGGCCTGTGTGTGAGGGCGTACAACTATTACGACCTATATCATGCTTCAGAGCAAGGATGTATATGAATCTGCTGAAATACATTTTACTTATTTAGAATAAGAAAATAATATATATTTAATACCTAAGTATTCCATCATGCATGCATCAGGTTTATATTGGTGGTTTTATTTGTGTTAGCGGTTATTATATTTGGACGAAATATGCAAGGTGCTCTAATTTCTTCTGATTTGTATTTTTTCTTCATTATTGTTCATGACCGAAAAGTTAAATATTTATAAAGCAAGAAGCAAAAGTAAAGTTAGCACATAGCTGAATAGTAACTATCTAGTTCAACTGATCCAGATGATGTTAGCACACAGCTAAATAATAACTATCTAGTTCAACTGATCCGGATCATGTTAGCACACAGCTAAATGCATACTTTGTGGTAGTACAGCTAATCTGAGTGATGATAGTACAAAGCTAAAAGCAAATTAATCTGAGGGGTGTTAGCTCACAGCTGAAGGCCTATTGTTTAGTACAGCTTAATCATCCGAGTGATTTCAGCACACAGCTTAACAGTATAGAAGTTAGCTCACACTAAACAGTATATATCTAGTGCAACTTACCCGAGGGATGGTAGCACACACTAAACAGTATATGTCTAGTGCAACTTATCTGAGTGCTCTTAGCACACAGCTAAACAGAATATCTCTAGTGCAACTTATCTGAGTGATGTTAGCAAACAGCTAAACAGTATTAATGTTAGCATGCCGTTTACCAGTATATACACAGCTGAAAGTGGATTATAAGGGATGAAGTTTTTCCTCACATGTCAGTTTCTCCATTCGTTATGCATCTTGTTACAGACATTTTATCTATGTGTACCAGTATATACACCGGTTTTGTAAATATTCCATATTTGATGACTATTTATGTTACTATCAAATGAACCACTGAAGAACCTCTGTGTTTTATGGTCTGTGTCACCTCCTCCAGTCCTGCGTTTATTTATTGTTTGTTTATCCTATGGTATTTATGATAAACAATCATCCACATTACCACAAACAGATCTGGGTTGCGTGACTGGTTGTGAGAAGGAACAGCTTATGGTAGTTAATCTCAGATGACAGAACACTTAAGTTACAATGTTATTGTGTGATGCCACTGTACGAATTGCTTCAAGTAAATATTGTGTCAAAGTGATTTTTGAAGAATATTTTCCTGCAGGTCCTGAGCCTCATTTTCCAAATTGCTATGAGTTCCATTACTAAGAGATATAGCGGACTCTCTAAACATTGGTGGACCCCTACAGGAACAGCATGAGTCTATAACTCAATTATGCTAGTCACAAAAACCACAGGTAGCCATGTAAACATGAACTCCACACCTCTTGGATTTCTGGTTTATTTTTTATATGGTTGAATGAACATTTTCGTGCAGTAAATTCCAATCAAACTGATCCAAGGTAAGAAAGAGGACCGCTCGGACCCAGTTTACATAACTGTGTAATTCCTTTAATGGTTAACAGTTTAACAGGTATGATGCCTTTAGGGTTATAAGTATACCTGTACTAAAGCAAGGTTAAGATAAAGTAGAGAATCATTATAAATTATAATACCAAACCTTTATAACACTGTGTCTGATTGGATGATACTGGTCACATGACAGGGTAATAAATCATCATGTCGACCTCACATGCTGAAGTTTCCCAGATCATATTTCTCTTACTCGGAACCTCTCTAGAAAAATCGTCAAGAGACACTTTGTGAAACGCTATTAACCCTTTCACCCCTATGTAACTTCAGTAAACTCTTCTATGCATTGATCTAGATGAGCCCATTATGGTCTACAGTGGTGAACGGGTTAACTTCGGAGAAACAAAGAATCCTGTTTCCCCTTCAATAAGGGCATTAAGGTTTATTTAACAGTGATACACACTTCATACAAACATCAGCTTCTCTACACAGTTATCTGGACATGTATATTGTATAATGTACATGTATATAATGTATAGAATATATCTTGAGTGTATATGAGTGTAGAAAAACTGAAATTTACATTTATTGTATTATGTACATGTAAATAATATATATTGTGTATGTGACAGTGTGAAGTAACTGAATTTTACATATATTATGTACATGTATATGATTTCGTATATGTCACGGTGAAAGGTAACTGAACTTTTTGTGAAAACTGTATAAAGAACTAGTTTTAATACTGTAGAAATGTTAGACATTGGACACCTGAGAACCAGACACTTTGGACGGGTATAAAAAATTGTGATGGATTTATAATTTTAAGGAAAATACCTAGTATTTGTACTACTGTTAATTGTCTTCAGTGTGACCCCATTCTATGTTACACCTGTTTGTTTTATTATGTTTACACATTGATAAATGTATTAGATACATTGTCATATTCCTGTAGGTGTTATGTATATATAACTGATGTATATAACACATGTATTAATATATCTTTTTAATTGTCCTTCTGATTTGAGATTTTTTTTATTATCATTTCCTATGCAATAGTTTTGACCAAACCAACACTTTTTTTCCTGATCTGATTTCTATTTTTCCAGTGTTTTGTCTCTTACATAATTCATGCTTTCAAACATGGGATCTGAATGATTTTTCGTCCATTGTTGAAGTATTTCTCAACATTTGTCTGAATATTGGAGTTCTTACGTTAATGGGGGTCGTTGTTGAACACGTTAAGAACTGGAGTATTTTGTTTCCTATGCGGTCTGAACAGGATACTACTGATTCTACTGTTCTGTTTGAAATATGATCTCTGACATTATTCGTCAAATGGAAAATGTATCAAAATGTGTTGCATGAAGAGGGATTAGAAAGCATTATATCCTCTCATTATATTTTTCCAATTTCACTGAAATGAATTCACCAACAGATTTCCAGTCCTGACAAAGAAATCCTGTAAATTTTTCTGAAATAATTCAAATATTTAAAAAACTTTAAAACTCAATGTATCTAAGAGGGTCTAGTGGAAATGCCACTTTAACACCATGAAGGGAGACAATTCATTGATGCATTGTGGCCATGTTTAAATTTTGATTTGAATAATTCATTTGTTTAAAACATTATTCTAAACATTTTCCACTGATGTATGTCTGAACAGTGCAGAGTTACACCCCTTTACACAGTAAAATCTTCCAAGTATGTTTTCCTCTGATTTAATGCTATTAATACAAACAGTGCTTATATTGTGTTAAAAGCCTGGTTCAGGCGAGGTGCCCCTGTTATAGCAGCTTTTATTTCATTTGTATATGTTTAGGAGTGGACACATACCTAGAAATCTATACTATACATGTTGTCTTGGGCATGTGGTCCAGTATGACATGTCTTTCTGATGACGTCATGAATTTTAAGTTTCGTTTGAGAAGTGATGAAGATAAAATGACATCACAATGTTTTTCTCCGATAATAAATGCATTTGATCTCCTAAATTAATAATCTTGCTTTTTTTTCCTTAAATTTTGAACCCTTGAATTAATCTTTTTTTGCTCAGTATTTCTATGGGTATAAAATATTTTTGGTGGATGCTGTTGCTATGGACTATCTTTGGTAGATGCTACTTTAAACCCAGTAGTTTTGGATGCTGACAAAAGGTATCTTAGATGGGAAACACTTTACAGCCAAACTCATTTTTGGTTGCTGCTGCAATTTCTGTTAAGTCAGTATCTTAGTTGAATGGTTCCACAGAGACTAGCTCTGATGGAGGTTTTTTGACATGAACATTTGGTGAAGTTGCTGTGGATCAGGCATCTTTGGACGATGCTGCCTTTAACAGTGTATCTGTATCTGAGGACGCTCTGACCGATGTTCTAGGGACCCAATATCTTTGGCAGCTGCTTCTATCTGATGGACTCGTGTTTTTGGTAGATGGTGCTTTGGAAATCATATCTAATGGAGACTGAAATATATAACTTCATCTATAATTGTATGCACTAAACTCAATATCGAAATCACAAGGTAAGATGTGCATGTTATTCATAGAACATTTTCCGTTATATTAGTGGTGATAGGGGAAACGGATCATAGTTTTGCTGCCTGCATGTGCTGCACTTAATTGTGGTAATCCAGATCGTGCTAGGATCTTCAGCTTCCGGTAATATCAGGAAATGTCCGTGCCATATTTCAAAATGAAAGATATCAAGTCTTCCTTCCTTCAGCTTAATGAAAGTGGATTTATCGACCTTTTAAAATCTCTGATGTCGAAGCTCTGATAGAGAAAGATACACCTCTTCGGACAAACATGACTACAATAAGGCCAATGCTCATTGATAAAATTGAAAAAGGAAAAAGGGATACCATCCACGATACTCCAGGGGTTACCATCCACGATAATCCAGGGGTTACCATCCTCATTACTCCAGGGGTTACCATCCTCGATACTCCAGGGGTTACCATCCTTGATACTCCAAGGGATACCATCCTCGATAATCCAGGGTTAACCATCCTCGATAATCCAGGGTTGCCATCCTCCATACTCCAGGGGTTACCATCCTCCATACTCCAGGGGGTACCATCCTCCATACTCCAGGGGTTACCATCCTCCATATTCCAGTGGTAACCATCCTCCATACTCCAGGGTTGCCATCCTTGATACTCCAGGGGTTACTATCCTCCATACTCCAGGGGTTACCATCCTCCATACTCCAGGGGTTACCATCCTCCATATTCCAGTGGTAACCATCCTCCATACTCCAGGGGTTACCATCCTCCATACTCCAGGGGTTACCATCCTCCATACTCCAGGGGTTACCATCCTTGATACTCCAGGGGTTACCATCCTCCATACTCCAGGGGTTACCATTCTCCATACTCCAGGGGTTATAATCATCCGTACTCCAGGGGTTACCATCCTCCGTACTCCAGGAGTTACCATCCTCCATACTCCAGGGGTTACCATCCTCCATACTCCAGGGATTACCCTCACTTTCGCTCTCTGCAACTTTGAAATATGTCATAGCAAAATTGAAGGCAGTCAGCTAGCTATTTGATTGGTCTCGGGTAAAAATAAAACCTGGCTAATACATGTCATTTGAAGATTACAGAGGAGCGACACCCTACTTCAAAGCCTGTCATTTTTACCATTATGTATTGGCTAGCCCCTTTTGATGTACATCAAAGGATCAAACTAGTTTTCGTCCTGACATGTCCCAGGGGTGCAGAGAGCGTAAGTGGGCCGTATCAAGGAAATGATCGTTCAGTGGTGTGACACATTATTGGACACCGTCCGCTTACGACTTCAACTGAGGCAAGGACGTATTGGACAAAGGTCATACAAACAATTGACCAAACACCAGCAAATTGATTATCATTCCCAAAAAACTTGTAGAATGTGGTAAGGACTATAAAAAGCTTTTTAGACTGAATAGGAACCCATCATGCATACGAAAGGTGAAAACATCCTGCTATGCTGTCCATCCAAATTAAGTCTTGGCCTACAAAATTACGGATTTCTTAATGAATATTATCATACCATACTTCATACAATGATCCCTATCATTACTAATGAAATCCAATCGTTGGTGATAAACTGACAGCTCGCACCAACAAACCTAGACAGATTGCGCAAAGTTTGTATGCTTCCTATAATTACCTTAATCAAGTGATTGGCTGTCAGAATTTCTTTATTTTTCAAGAAAACTAATGACTACCGTTCAACAGCCACACATGATCAAATCTACCTTTCTTATGAAGATGTTAGAAAGAATTGGGTCCCAGCGTTTAGAGGTTTATTTCAATAAAACACCAGTTGGTCTATCATATCTGCCAACTTCGATAACAACAATATCCACCCGGAGCTGTCGTTTCTTATATTAAACTTCAGAGAGTTCCTTGAAGCTATGAGACTAGCAAAAACTAAGGAGCTCTTCACATCAATGTGGCTAGCAAACTTTAAGGAGCTCCCTAGATCAATGAGGCTAGCAAACCTTAAGGAGCTCCCTACATCAATGGGGCTAGCAAACCTTCAGGAGCTCCCTACATCAATGAGGCTAGTAAACCTTAAGGAGCTTCCTACATCAATGAGGCTAGTAAATCTTAAGGAGCTCCCTACATCAATGAGGCTAGTAAACCTGAAGGAGCTCCCTGCATCAATGAAGCTAGTAAACCTTAAGGAGCTCTTTACATCAATGAGGCAAGCAAACTTTAAGGAGCTCTCTACATCAATGAGGCAAGCAAACCTTAAGGAGCTCCCTACATCAATGAAGCAAGCAAACTTTAAGGAGCTCTCTACATCAATGAGGCAAGCAAACCTTAAGGAGCTCCCTACATCAATGAAGCAAGCAAACTTTAAGGAGCTCTCTACATCAATGAGGCAAGCAAACCTTAAGGAGCTCCCTACATCAATGAAGCAA